TTTTTTTGATCAAGTCTGTACTCATCAAAGATATTCGACGCAGACAGGTAAAAAAATCGAATTATTCAAGACAGTTTGTAACTATATTTTTAGTGTAGGTCACCATAAAGGAATGCATCTCTGTATATCTTTTAGTTCGCTTTTGTGAAGCGTTGTTTACTAAGCATGCGAATAAAAATTTTTTCTTTTTCCTTGTTTATATTTAATACTTATTGTTTGATGAGTGAGTGGTATACCGTTGCTGTCCCGCCTTGGTGGTTCCGAGGTTCCGACTTGCTATAGCAAGCAAGTCGGTCAATCAGTCCTTTCGAATTAAAGTTGAAGTAACCGACGATTACTTGTGATGGTGGCTTGACATGGTTACTATTATTAAATTATTATTTTAATTTTTATTGTATATATATATATATTTTGTGGATGGAAAGTGTCCCTCCCGGGTTGCTGGGTGTCCGGCGTTGGTGGTTTCGAGGGTTTCGAGGAGGGGGAGAGAGGGGAGGAGAGGAGGCGAGGAGGCGAGGAGGTGAGGTTGTATAGAGGAGAGAAAGGGGAGGAGGATGTACCTGATTACTCGACTAGGCGCGCCGTATTCAACACTGCGACGAGAGTAGTTGGTGTCGGGAACGGAAAGGGAGGATTGGCGGTCATGGGTAGCTCTTTTATGTGGTGCTAGGGTTCTCTTAAGGCGGAGTAGGATAGGGGGGTTATTTTTTAACAAGAGTGGAGGATGTGAGGGATTGGGGATTGGGGATCATAGTGTTTGGCGTTGGATTTATCATCATGGTTTGATGTTTATGTGGGAGTGTGTTCACGTTCGGGCCGCGGCTGTTGGTAGATGAGGATTGTAAAAAGTCTTACGGGTTCCTAGGGGGAGAGAGAGAGAGAGAGAGAGCTTGGTCACTCAACCACCCACCACTCTCCGTGACGGCGTTGAATTCGCCCAAAGAAAGTCAAGGCAGGGAAACCGACGCAGCAATCCCCGGTCTACACGCCGAACCGAACCGAAGCGAGCGGCAAGTAAGCAACGAAGCCAGTGAGACGCGTCGCAAGCAAGAGCCGCACCACCTATGCCTTCGGCCCAACCTCCTCAAAGCTCCTCACCACAACATGCTTCTCCCTCTCGGCATCGCTGAGCGCCGCATTGCCCTCCCGAACCACAACAGCACTCTGCATGCCCGCCGCCTTCGCCGCCTCGACCTCCTCCACCCGGTCGCTCAGGAACAGCCACCTCCCAATCGGCTCCGGCCTCGTCCCCGCGATCTTCTCATAGCTCGCCTTCTCCCCCTTGAGACCAGCGTTGACCGTGTCGAAGTACCCGTCGATCAAGCCTGTCAGATCCTTCTCCCCGTCCTCCTCGCGGCCGTTCGTATACTGGAAGAGGAGCTTCTGCGCGGCGACCGAGCCGGAGCTGTAGATGATGATCGGGACGCGAGAGGCGCGGCAGCGCTTGAAGAAGGGGACCACGTCCGGGAAGAGCGGGCAGGTGAGCGAGCCGGCCTGGTAGCCGGCGAGCCAGAGGTAGCCCTGCAGGTTCTTCAGGTAGGCGATCTTGACGTCCCGGGCGACGAGGTCGTGGACGTGGCTGCGGAAGTAGGCGGGAGAGGCGCGGTGTTCGGCCGGGAAGGCGTCGCGGTAGGGTGTAAAGGTGGGTGAGTCCCATGCGGTAGCTAGGACTGGGTCGAGGGCTGTGAGGGAGTAGGGCATCTAGGGAACGCGTATTGGTCAGCATGTTTAGCGGACATGACTAAGAAGCGACGCGTAAGGACGAGTAAGGTTTGTTGACATGTCGAAGAAGGTCAATTGATAGGAAGAAGCAGGGCAATGTCTTTTGAAGAGACAGCGGGTGGCGCATGCAAAGACAATTAAGAATGTAAGACTGTGTGTTCTGAAAGTAAGTACCAGTGGTGATGTACCCACGAGACCTTAGGCAATTCTAGCTCGAATTCTTAATGGCCATGCCCCAGCCATGATCCGTGGCTACGAGCATGGCCAACGAGGCGAATGTTGAGTTTCCCAATCGTGACATACAAATTGGAAAATTGCGTGGCCGTTGTCTCCCCTTGATAGTGACACCAAGCGCGTCGTCGATACGAACCTTCCGCGAGTCATCACTTCTCCTGCACTGTCGCGGATGAGAAAAGGGGTTGCGATCGATAGGTTCAATTGACCGAACGGAGTATAACACTCCTGCAGGAGAAAAGAATGCAACCAACCGCGTGGCGAGTGCATATGCCGAAGTATCTCGGCGGGTCTCGTGCCACCTCGTTGACCCGGACATCCCGCACAGCAGAAGCAGAGACGTCAACAAACAACGCACGGCAGAGAGAGACGGGAGACACAGCGTACGAAAGTCACGATGCACCCCGGATCTGAGACCCGGTTCAGTCGCTACAACTAAGAAAAGATAATCAAGGGCGGCAGATGCAAAGAATTTCGCGCACGAATTAATGGCCTGGGCAACGCAACACTTGTGCGTAATGCCGTGCGGTGCTGTGCTGTGATGCGTGCCAGCTGACCCCGAATTAAGGACATCCCCTTTGCTTGTTTATCGGCGTCGCCTGCAGCACACCGTCTGAGGAGGTCAGGTGACCATCGTGAGATTTCGAATTCATAAAGGGATGGTTGTTGGCTAAAAAGCGGATCCCGTGACACAACGAGACACCACTAAATGCCCACTGGAAACCAAAATTGAAATTAAAAATTGAAAGCCAGAACAGAAAGGGGAAAGCGAGAGAAGGATGCCGAATGGAGGAGAGCACGTTGAACAGAGGAAGACGAGCTTACCAAGACCTCCTTCACGAACGAGATCGGACAGACCGTTCCCTCTAGTAAAACCCCATCAAGTCAGCCCTGCTCTCCCTTCCAACTTTGACCTCTCCCTTGAAGCCGAGTCTGAGTCTGGAGCATTCCAAATGGAAAGGGCCAGGCCAGGCCAGGCCAGGCACACACTGCTGGCCAGCCTCATCAGACCCAGCCACTACTGGGGCGCAGGCAAATGAATCATCCTACCGATATCCAGCAGCGCAACATCGAAATCCAGAGCACCAGCAGCCATTGCCGACATGTGCGATATCCCGCGCTGCCGTAATTTCTTGAGCCGTCGCAGATGTCAAAGCAAAGCTCGCTCAGGCCTAAGCTGAAGCTGATCAAGAAGACCGACGACTATCAAACGATGATGGCCGGGTGTGAAGAGAAATCTCGTCAAGAGGGGTGGAAGAAGGTGTCTGGTTTGTTCGCAACGTCGCCACAGGTTTGTTTTGTTTATGGACTAAGTAGGTAAGTAGCGAGTAGCCAGTGAGGAATAGCCGGGGGGGGGGATCGGGATGGGGGATGGGAATGCAAGCTACGGGTTTGCATGCACGCGGCAGCAACTCTGGTACAGTATTGTTGTTGTGGGTCTGGTCTGGCCTGGGTCTAGATTGGAATGGAATGGAATGCAAGTCGGGAAGTTACAGTAGCTAGGTGGAAAGCCTGTCAGGACTCACAACGTGGTTGTGCTGTGCTTGTATCATGCACAACTCGTCGGGGAACAAGTGGCAAAAATCTTCTTCATCATATCAGAATAGAGACTCCATAAAATCCGTGCAGATTTTTTTCTCGATTTTTTCTCAGATTGTGATGGCGGTGAGAGTTAAGCAATCCATTTTCTCTCTTTGCATACTATGCGGAGGATAGTTATTTGCATTCTCGGGAGGATGGCCGGGAGATCCACTCCGATGCCGATGCGGTGGACTTGCATTGCATGGCGTACGGAGTAGCATAGTACCGGTAACATACTACTAATAACCATAAGTAGTAGTAACAACACGGACTAATATAACAATAATAGTACCTAGTCCGTACACAAACATGCCCGTCGGCCCCGCTCGGGAGGCCCTTTTCTCGACATGCTAAATAAAAAACCCCGACCGGTTTCGATTATGGAGATGCGTCTTGGGAAAAGTGGGACGATCAATTACGGGCAGAGAGGTAGAGTTTTTTTTTTTGTTTTGTTTGTTTTTATGTTTTTTTTGTTTTTATGTTTTTATGTTTTTTGTTTTGTTTCTTTTTCGCTGTTGCCATTTCTTCGTCTCAGCTGGGTGGAACGCTCTCGCTAATAGTGAGCATCACCATCGTACCAAGTAGGAAGAAGCGATGATCCCAGACCTCAGTGGGATATTTTCGAATTCGAAAGTGTTCCATTCAACCACCCCCACCAGCAATGCCTCGGATAGAATCGAGGGGCCAGTATGTAAATAGTTGTACCGGTACAAGTAAGATAAGAATAAGATTTCCAAAAATTCCAGATGCCCAAGCGGAAATAATGGCTTCAGGAACTGCATCCGGACCACGGCTGGTAAGTAGTGGAGAAGCGGATATCTTTCTCTTCGTCCCTAGCTGCATCCTTCCCGTGATCTTGGATCCGGACTATCGATAACCTGGGCCCGTCCGGGTCCGGGTCCGGGCGCGCGCGCGCGTGCAGCTCTACTGTACGTACTGCAGAGACGGAGCAGAGGCGGGATGGGAAGCCTTGCAAGTTGCGGTATGGTACTTGGTGGTGGCAGGCTATTTGAGGCTCGAACTTGGACCATATCTGTCTGTATTATCATACAATCACGGTATTATTGATTGATTGTATTTCGAGGCCTCCAAGCTCAGGGATTGATTGCAGAGGTTTGCCGGAGTCAAGACTTTGTGCCCACTCACCGCTAGGGCTGCCGTCTCGCCTACAGCGTACAGCGTACAGCGCAGAACGGACTCGGTCTTTCCCATGAGTCTGAACCACCACGCGAAATTGCGATTCTGCAGCCAGGCTTGTCGTCAGTGCGAGATGGGCGGGGCCCTCGAAACCGCCTCTCCAATTTCCTTTGTTTGCTCTATTTTTGCTTTAGATTTGAGTCGACAATAGCTCTTCTGTAGGTTATGTTTGACGTTGAATATCTGTAAACTCAGTGCTTCCGTGGCTCAGACTTGGGGAAAACCCGAGTATCACGATAACGGGCGTCGGTTTTGGTCGTGTTGCCGCGGACGAAGTCCCGCCGCCAGCTCAAGGTTACAAGTGACATGTCATATTATTAGACGCAGATCTATGCTCCGTATAGGAAGGAGTACCAGAAGGTACATCGATGGTCAAGCCGAGGTGTGAGCTGACGAGGTAAAATACTGGCACAGGCACCGAACTTGCGAGGACGACAGCGAGCGCATCGGGGTTCTCCCTCGCAAGAACGCTCCTCGCCAGAGCGACCAGGTGATTCTGTAACTTTGGAAAGCGGCAGATGTTGCTGGGCGCGGCAGAAGAATTCGGATTGAAAGTCATGTTTGGAGAGATGCACGATTGGATGAGATTTGACGCTGCGGGCCTCGGAGACGCCGCAGATGATATACGTGTGTGTACCGGTATGTGTGTGTGTGTGTGTGTCGGGAACTTGCATTTATTGGGACGTCAGGAATGCAGCGGTATGAAAGGCGCCTACTCCAGAGGCTGTACGCAGAACAAAACTTTTGGGTCTGGTCTGGCTGATAGAGACCGCTGGGGACGTTTCAGGAGCCCCATCTTCCCAACCTATCAAGCCGACCGTACGTACCTTTCCCTCTCCCGACGTCAACGTCAACTCATGCTCGAATGCGTACCTGGGGTGCGTCTGTCCACACTGCATCGCTGCAAATGGAAAGTCTGTCGTTCCTAAAGGATCCAGAGGAATGCGTAGTAAGTGGGTGAGTGGGTCGTGGGTTTAAGATTCGGCCTGTGGCTGCGAGGTTTTGGCAGGGCGGGTCAGAAGGTAGGGAGGTAGGGAGGTAGGGAGGTAGGGAGTAGAGTGAGTACAGATGAAGTTTCTCTGGCGGGACGATGGGGGAGATCCACGGTTGATACAGTGCGGGTGTTTCAAGGTAACGGGCGCTTCGAATTTTCGTATAATCGAGCGTATTATTGTATCATTCTTTCGTCATGGAAGGGAATTTTTGATCAAGCCAACAACTCCTTGCCGGGCAACGCGGGGGTGCAGGTATAGTGGTGTGGTGGTGCGGTGGTGTGGTGGTGGTGTGCTGGGTGCTTGCTGGGTGCTTGCTGGCCCCCAAAAAGTATGCGAAAGTGCCCAGCCCAGGCGTGCTGCGGGAGACTTGACTTTCGAGGAATGCGAGAGAGTTACTATTGTGAGCTGTTGGACCTGATGTAGGTAATGTGATAACTGATGATGATGATGATGATGATGATGGTGGTGGTGGTGGTGATAGTGATGGTGATGAGGTTTTGGTGCGAGCTGCTGTCGTGGCCGCCAAAGAATGACTGATGGCTAGAGGAGTCACGTCGAGCATCGTGACATTTCTGCTGCGGTCGTTGATGACATGATCACGGGTCTGGCTAGGACAATGGATAAGTACTACCTACTACCGTACTACTACTACCTTACTACTACTACTACTACTACTACTACTACTACTACTACTACTACTACTACTACTACTACTACTACTACCGGTACTACTACTAGATGGCTTCAGCCTTCGAGGTCACACGACCCCGCTTACGATGTTTTGAATGAACGAGTTGGGGCAGCGTCTAAGCCAGGGCCGCCGGCCGCTGAAGTCAGCGGCGGCAAGGAGGGCGGCTCACGATTGTCAAGACTGAAGTGCTATGGTCGGTACTCGTTGCTTTGCCAATAGCTTCTGCGTATACAGAGTACGGAAAAGCGATACAACAGAGCATCTACCATCCTATCTATAGTATCAGAACTCGAGGGAAGTTGGATGGAGGGATGGAGGGATGGAGGGATGGAACATGGACGGATAGAGGTGTCTCTACAGTAAATTGACAGAATCCATCCTCAGGACCTCACCTCGAGCTTGATTTTTACTAGAAGTACTAAGTATATACTTCGTCCTTCACTACTTCGACGGAGCAACGTACTTCTACTGTACCTAGTTGTGTTGTAGTAGATGGCGCAAGCCTACTGGCCAAGAAAGCATATCTGGCACGGACTTTCCTATGCAGCTGTTTTCCTGGAAGTCGATAGAATCACCGAAAAGCAGCGTTCCACGCCTGAACTCGCATATGGGTCGAGCCACGGGTTGGACGACGATGGACGACGATCGACGATGGGCGACGATAGGGGGGGGGCTGACTGGGCTTCGAGGGCGGTGCCGCTTTAAGACAGGCGGGGATGCTACACCGTTCTGCTCATAAATCAAGTCTGTCCGGGCCCTGCCCTGTCCTGACACCAATCCAAATAAGGCATAGCGGTCACTAGTTCGAAGGGTGGGTCGAGTGGGTCGGACCATCCCCTGTCTGCCGTGTTGACTAGGTTGGCTAGGTTGACTAGGTTGACTAGGTTGACTAGGTTGACTACGGTGACTACGGTGACTAACAGTCGTACGTATCCTGCCCATTCCATCCCATCCGTCCTCGTCAGTACTTCTAAAACAACTGCGTACTGATAGACTACAACCTCATCGGAGTCCCGTTTCCTTTTCCCTCGTTCCTTCTAAGCTCCTCTCCCTCTCTCCCTCTCCATCTCTCTCTCTCTCTCTCTCTCTCTCTCTCTCTCCCCCTCACCTACGATACGATACGATACGACCAACTAATCCCTCTACCTACCTACCTACCTACCTCACCTACGCTTCACTACCACCATCATCACCACCACCACCACCACCACCACAACAACAACAACCACCATCTCATCTGCAGTCCATCAACGAGCTCGCCCGGACCCTCGCAGCTCTGCATCATCCGCCCACTTGTTCTGAGCAATAGCACTCCTCCATTCACCGTGCAATCGACCAAACCAGAAGCTGTGGCTTTGTGTGCAGCGGGTGTTGCCCCAACTAGAACAAAGACCGCCCATTAATACCAAACACCTGTCGACTTGACACCCTCACTCCATCTTGCTCTCCAACCTACGATATCTACCTCAGTTGTCCCCAGCGGAGAAGGCAGACGAAGAGCCAGCTCTTCGACTACCTGTTCCCTCAACCTACGACAACCAACACATGATTTCAACGACAGAGCCCGAGATTGTCTCCAGATAGACTTCTGCCTTCCTCGAATTCCAATCTGACAATCTCTATCCATTTCGAGTCCTCCTTATATCCATCCGCTCGGACGTCAATACCCTTCCATCGAGCCATCACCCCTCTCACGATAATCACCTTGACACCGGACACTCGACTTTCCGTCGGTTGTGCTGCCTAGTCATCGAGTCGATCTGGCACTCCATCGAATCTACACTTCCACCCTCGACCTTCCTACCACAACACAAACACACTCTGGCAGTACGTTTGCTCGTACTGCTACCTGCGACTAGCTTTATTCCTCAGACACTCGTTCTTTACACATCTTTGGCTCTCATGTTAGCATAACGACTTTCTCATTTCTTATCGGACTCTAGTCCACCTGTTACGACCACCAGCCCAATTTCCTTTGTAAGCGATTCGAATACCCATCAATGAGCCTCTGACCCGTACGACCCCAACAAGGAGTTCTCCACACCAGTTATCTATTTTATCGGCGGTTGAATACATCTATATAAGCGTCACTTGTTTGTGTACTCGCTTCCGCCTTCCCCCCTCGGCTCTTCGACACCTGCTCTGGAGCCCAGCTCCTTGTGCCAACAACTTTGTTTAAATAAGACAGAAGCATCTTCCTACCTGTGCTGCTCGGTGGCACTCGCCTAGGGACAAAAGACATTGCCGTTGTAAGAGTATTCACGCTGTTGCTATCCTCGACTTAATTTTCCGATCTACCAATCTACGTCACCCCCTCACCAGATCCATACTTCGTTCGCCATGGAGTGCCTCCGGGAGTCTTTCTACGATGGAGTTGTACTTGATGGACGGTTCAAGACAGTATCTCCTCTCAACCATGGATCTTTCGGCATGGTCTTTATGGCCGAGGATCTGACCAACAATGAGAAGGTTGCTATCAAGTGCCTCACCAAGAAATCTGCAATCATCGATGGAGATTACTCCTTTGCTGTGGATGAGCAGTCGGAGGAGCTGGCCTGCCACGCACGACTAGGCAACCATCCCAACATTGTGAACATGATTCACTCTTTCGAGACCGAAGCACATATCTACATCGTCCTCGAGTTCTGCTCCCGAGGTGACCTTTACGAGGCCATCAGAACCGGCACCGGCCCATTGGAAACCGAGCACGTCCGCAGATTCATGCTCCAGCTTGTCGATGCTGTTGATTACATTCACGCCAAGGGCATGTATCACCGAGACATCAAGCCAGAAAACATCTTCCTCACACAAGCCGGGGAGATGAAGCTCGGTGACTTTGGACTCGCTACGACAGAGAAGTGGACTTTCGAAACGACTGTTGGCAGTGACCGATACATGTCGCCAGAACAGTATGATTCCGCTGGAGCAGGGTACGCACCGGAGAAAGCCGATATCTGGGCCATTGGTATCTGTCTGTTGAACATTCTCTTCTCTCGAAACCCATTCACCACTCCCACGGAGTCCGATCCATTGTTCCTCGACTTTACTCGTGACAAGCAATCTCTTTTCGATGTCTTCCCAACAATGTCCATGGACACCTTCGAGGTAATTACCCAGTGCATGAGCTTAGATCCTCGCAAGCGTTCCTTGACAGGAGCCCGTGAGGCCCTCGAGCGCCTGGTCAGCTTCACCACCTTCGACGAGTCATTGGATGATTTCTGCATGGCCGAGAGAAGGGGCATCGCCAGCGCCAACCGTGAACCCCTCCGCACCCCATCTATCCAGAGCCCTCACGTCGACAATGGATCTTTCCCGTGGGCCAAGGCTCTGCAGGCAAGTCCACCCCACCAATTCCGCCAACTGTCAGTCATTGCGGACGACGAGAGCTACTCTGAGGATCTTTTCCCGAACCCGGAAGATCACAACAAAGGTTGGTTCCCCGCTGGGCAACAAACCCCATCCATGGCCTCCGTGTTGGACTCGACTCTCGGAGCTTCGATGAAGTCAATGGCCATCAGACCCCCCATGAAGTCAGGTCCACCTAAGGCTAGCCTCACTCCCATTTCGGGGTCCCTGCCTATCACTATGTCGAAGCCCGTGCCTTTGCCTTCCCTAGCTTCCGTCTTCGGCAAGAAGAACGAGGTCGCGTCCAAGAGTTGGAGCGATCTCTGGGACGAGGAGGAGGAGGAGGAGGAAGCCGACAGGCAACTCAAGGCTCGCCAAATGCAGAACTCGAGAACCTGGAGCCACGAAAGCAAGCACGAAGAAGATGTCAAGAATGCTCGCGAACCTCTGGAGCCAAAGAACTCTTCATCTGTAAATATTTCAAAGTTGAGCCACGATGCGCGTCTGGCTGCCGTGAACGATATTGATGGAGACCTCGTTGCGGATGGATTCTTCTTTCACGATGCCCCCGAGAAAGAGGAGGTCATCCCAGCGTCCTCTCCTCCTAGATATTCACCACCACCTAAGCGAGCTACCAGCGACAAGTGGTCGAAGTTGGGAGAGCGCAGGCGAGCACTCAATGGTACCTCGGACTCGGAGAAACCCCGGGTGCTGTGGAACCCTCATGAGCGGGTTGGACATGTGGGATTGGGCCTCTCTGGATTTAGAGCCGGCGTTGGAGTTTGGGAGAATAGACTGAACATGGTTGTCAAGGATATGAGCGCCAAACCCAAAAGCAAGGGGTGCCCTTGGGCGAAGGAGCGCGCGCGTGACCCTCAAGGATATAACCGCCATGGTGACCAGATTCCGGATTTGGAATGGGCTGGGGGTTACAATGACCTCCATTTATGAGTGGGTTGAAGGTCTCTCTACCTTCTATCGTAGCTTCTAGGCATCATCTCGGGGCTCTGTACTGGTTATGGCGTATCATCAATCTTGATGGATGTCACGGTCTGGATGGGGTACGGGGATATTGTCTTCAAGCTCGCTTCTCTGTGTATTAGATATCTCCGGACTTGAAAATACCAGACAACTACCCACTCTACATTTGACTCTCGTTCCTACCCGCCCAGTGAAAACTCCATTTCGAGTTAGTATTCCTGCTGACATGTAGCTGTACAGTCAGTCGGTGGATGGGTCACTGCGTTGTCTGCTTCAAGCCTTTTCCGGTTTATTGACTTTTACCCCTGAGTCAGTCAGATGACTGCAAAAACGGGTTCAGCAGCCGCAGCAACAAACAAGCTCGCACCTTTCTTTCTAGTTCTAGCATACGGACGGCATACGGTACGAATACTGGCACCAAGAAACAACCCGAACGACCTCACATCCTTCCTTCTTTCCGTCCCCTTTACTCCTCCTCCTCCTCCTCCTCCTCCTCCTCCTCTCCTATTTCTCTTCTCCCATGGCAGATAGATCAACGAACGAATGAAGGGAGGGAGGGGGGGATTGGTCACAGCACAGAGTAGCGGTAGTAGGTGATCCATCGATCTTTTCAACTTTTTAACTTTTTAACTTTTTAACTTTTTAACTTTTTAACTTTTTAACTTTTTAACTTTTTAACTTTTTAACTTTTTAACTTTTTTTCTTTTTTTTTCTTTTTTTTTTCTTTTTTTTTTATTCTTTTTTTTTTCTTTTCTTTTTTTTCCTTTTCTTTTTTTTTTTTCGAGGGTAAGGAGGAGGGGGAGGGATGAGGGCTTGGATATATACCTATCCAGTCAAAGATCGATTGATGTTCGAACATTCGAAGCTTACGTGTAAAGGATGTTTGTTTTGTTTGGTCAAGTTCATCTATCCATCTAATGGTAGAGGTATGTATGTGTGTGTGTGTGTGTGTGTGTGAGAGTATATGTGTGTGTGTGTGTGTCTAGAGGGGAGGGAACCTGTGGCTCGTTGGGTTATAGAGGAGGGCTTCGCACCCCGACTCTGCTTTAGCGCTGGAGGACTTGCGGGAGTGAATGAAGAAGGGGCCAGGGCTGTGGCTGGCAGGTTCACGAGATCTTTCGATTCGGGTTTGGGTTTTGGGTTTGGGGTTTTTGGGTTTGGGAAAGGGGGGGGGGAAGGATGAACGATTGCGGGTATATGCCGATGGAGGTACGAAGAAGGTGGTGTGGATGGGTGCAGCTGGATGCGGCGGTGTGTTGTTGTCGTCTTGGGGTCTGGTGGATGGAGGGTAGATGGGTTGTTGGACTGTTGGACTGTTGGACTGTTGTTCTGTTGGACTGCTGGTCTGTTTGCTCGTTTGTTCGTTTATTTGTTTGTTTGTTTGTTTATTTGTTTACCTTTCCTTCCTTCCTTCCTTCCTTCCTTCCTCCCTTCTTGAAGCGAGGAACGAGCGAGCGAACGAATAAACGGACGGACGGACGTCGCTAGCGCACAAAGACTACCCCCAAATTACAAGGCTTGCTGGGATTCGTAAGGTGGAAGGGCCCGCCGAGACGTAACGCAACACACGCCATCCACCATCATTCACGAAGATAAAAATCTCCCGGGTAGAGGGACCGGACGAAGACCAGTCAGTCAGCCGGTCCCCGCAAACCTGAAACCCCCGCGAGCAGAGAACCTCCTCTCCCTCTCCCCTCTTATGGTTCAGCGTGCATCTGAAGATGGAGAAAACCTCGCTCGGAAGATTTCCACTCATTTATCCGTCTTTGATACAGATGGAAGTTTACATTTTACACTAGTGACTCGTGGCCTACTTCATCTGAGTTGCGCCTCAGCTGGTCTTGCAGATACGGACGCCTCAGACGCGTAGGTGCCACTCGAGTCCGCGCGTCCTTGAGAAGAGAGCAGGAGCAGAAGATTTCGTGGAGAGAGAGCACGTCCAGTCCTGTCTTGGAAAGCTTACAGAGAGACATGTTGAGGAAGAATACCCAAGATGAGGATTTGGTCAATAAGAGCGACCGAGGGCTATCCCGGCGTCTGCGCCAGCGCATCCGCCCACATATCAATGCTGTATATATAACGCGATACATAATGCGGTAACAATGTAGCTCCTGGCTCTTGTGACCACCACCATAGCGCGCAAACGATAACGCGGAGAAGGGTTTCTTGATAGCGAAACCCATCTCGGTGTTATTTGTACCCAGAGACGCCTAGATCCATCAGAACACCCCAGACCATCAATATTACACCCAAAATCTATACTGCCCTCAGCTTCTTACTTTCCTTCCTTCCTTTCTTTTTTTTTTTCTTCTTCTTTTTTTTCCCTTCCTTTTCTCATTTGCTTGTCAGTCAAAGTAGCTCAATAGAAACCAAACTCGAACGGCCCCCCATCCCCTCCCGCAAGACTCTCAATCCTGCGTATGAATTCTTCCAAGCTCTCCTTTTCCTCTGAAACCCTTGCACTAGTGATCTGCGGCTGCCGCATCGTGTGATCCGGTATATACGGGACGGTAATCATGTGATTCCTCCCGTTCGAAACCGCACCTCGACCCCTGGCATCCCAAACCACCCTACGAGCTTGCTCCCACGCCGTTCTACAACTCTCATACATCCCTTCGACCTTGGGACTCTTCCCCTGCAGCGAGAGCAGGCCCAGCAGACTCAGCAAGGGCTCGATGAGCTGCAGATCGGATTGTGCCGTATAGCTTAGTGGATCAGAGCGAACGTTGGCGAGGAGCGTTGTGGTCGCTGACACAAAGATATGCAGAAGGACCCAGATGCAGGCATATTCTCCTTGTGGGGTGATCAGAAGCAGCTTCAGAGATTTCCTCGCTTCTTCGATACAAGTGATCGATGGCGGAGGTGGCCATGTTACATTTGGATCCGTTGGCGCTTCCATCATCTCCTGCCATTGATTGACTGGCGTGGCGAACCGATGGACAGCAATCAGCGTATGGAAATACGTTAAGCGTAAGATCACCGAGTGCAGGACAGGGGAGATGTCCTTCATGGCTGAGCTCGCCTCCTTGTTGTATTCTTGCTGGTACTCGATCGGTACACTGAGCTTCCAGTTCTCGAGCGCCGCTGTCAAATCCCGAACAGCGTTTACTCTCTCGGCGACGGATTGCCGGCTCGCTTTGGCTGAAAGTAGTCGCTTGTAGACCATGCTCTGGATCAGAGCGAGCTGAATTCGCAAACGGAAGAAGTTGTGTTGGTGGGGTCCAATCTCGGAGAAATTGCAGTAGTCTGGGAGATCAACGTCCATATCGTCGTCGTCTTGTGCAGGCGGCTCGTTGTTGCGCAGAGCACCTTCTTTGTCCATGGCGTAGGCGATCCAGAACACTCGTTTTCGTTCCTCGATCTCGGCTGCGCTCATGTTGGGGTCCACGTTCCGGCGGTGCAGGCCCAATTGCTGAGCCATCTTCACAGCCGCAGTGTTGAGGAACGAGTAAGGCGCTGGATTTGGTGTTCCTTGTATGACAATTGCCAGACTGAGGAGAGCTTGTACGGACGTTATAGAAGGCGGCATCAGTGTAAGCTGATTCACAACGCCCAAGGCATTGCGAAAATAGCCCCAAGCTTCATTGTCTTCGGCTACTTGGACGCTGTTGCGAATGCCGAAGCGATGACCTAATGTCAAAACACTATTCAAGCAGGCCCAGAAGCCGGGGTCTCTGATGCTAGTGTCCAGGTCGTCAAGTCTTTGTATGAAAAAATCCTCATTAAAGAGAGGAAAGGCGGAGTTGAAGCAATGAAGGGAGGTTTTGATGAGGGTTATGGCTTCATGTCTGGGCGGGAGGTTCTTGAATATACGACGCGTAAACATGTCGCCGGCAGCGCTAAGGTCCCAGGTGGGCATGATCTTTAGACCTGGGTCTGACGAGATCGGTGCTAAATCTGATTAGCTGGTGCAGGGGCCGTGGTCGATGGAACCTACCATTCGGGCAGTTCATGTTCATGTCGAAGTTTGGTGATAGAGAATTCATCCAAGGCATACCAGAAGCCAAATCTGTTGGCAGGTCCTGATACAATAGGTTCATGAAAGACGTAGAGCCGAGTTCGTCAGTCATCACTGGCACGGTAGCAGGTTCCCTCCGTGGTCTTTCATGCTCGAAACTGGGAGTTTGTTGAAGTTGCTCCGTAGCACGCTTTAAGCTCTCTTCCACACTCTTCAACTTCCTCTCGAGTTCTTCAACACGTTTGTGCCTAGCAAAATCAGCATTTGGCCCCTACTAAGCGAGGTAGGTCATGACTACCTACCCAGCTGGCCTTCTCGCAGCACGTTTTGTGCTGATGGGTGTGAAGTGACAGTGTGTTTTGTATTTAAGGCATTGTACACAGGTGTGATCTTTGGGTTCACATCTGATCTTTTTCTTGCGGCACATATCACAGGCCTAGGTTATCAGCCTCGGCCCAGCAAGTATAGCATAGAGAGAGAGGTGCCAGGCCAGGCTAGTACTCAGGAGGGGGATCATGGCCGTGATGGTTGTAGTAACAACAAGTAAGCATCCGAAGTACGTACCTTGATCACGAGTGAGACAGAGACACTGCTGGAGTTACTCCCCGCTCCGGTGCTATCAGGCGAATGCTCGGACATTTTAGCGAAGTCAAACGACAGTGAACTGGAAGGGGTTCCAGTTCCTGCTGGCTGATGGACGAGTGGATTTGGATGGGTACGCTATGATTTGCTATAGGGAGGATGGCCTCTTCGCCCTGAAATACTCAGGTTCGTCGTCAGGGAATGTCGGGGAGTGGTTTCGGGATATTGCTCGGTTCAGTAAGGTTTGGCAACTCGGCAATTTGGCAATGGGCTTGGTATTGGTATTGGTATTGGCCTCGAGCAATAACGTGTCCTCTTTTTCAAGATGTGAAGTGAGGTGAAGTGATGAATGACTACTTCCTGTGCCTGTAGCGCAGTGCTGACTTATCTCATGATTGAAATTTGAGCCTCCATCTTTTGTTAGGGAATATATTGGAACGGCGGTCAGGCATGACCAACACCCATGTGACAATATATCCGTCCCGGACTTTACGAAGCCTCCGAAACTACCTAGCCAAGAAGGTAATTTACAATATACAACGTACACAGCACATAAACCATAACAGCCTCCTCCTATTTATGACGTATCCACACTCGTCCGGTTAATTGCGCAAGTTATCAGGCTGCGTTACAAGGACTTCAATTTTGGGTGGTGGTGTGTAGCTGAGATACGTTGACGATATTCTCAACGAGGTCTATTCCCTGGCGGCCCTTCGCAAGCTCCGGGCTATACGGGGTCGTTTCGTCCAACTCCTGTTTCTAAAAACCGGCTTAAAACCGGTATTTTAAGAGCTCCAGTTTGTAAAGTAGTACGGTCTAAGTATGAAAACTGATATAATCTGAAACAACGTTTGGTCAAGAAATTGATCGATCTTGAAAAGGATTTTGACCCGTATTTCTCGCGATCTCGGTACGTCATTTGAACTTTTGATTATCGATAAGAAGAAAGGTGGTAAGAGTGGACTACATGGTTTTGGGCTACTGCAAGACGCGTACAAACCGAAAAACTCAACTTCAAAACAACCTCTTGAGGTGACTGTGCAGTTTTTACGGATTTGTATGGGGTGTCGGGCGAATCAGTTTTCAAAAACCGGATTTTGAAGTCAGTTTTTGCGTTTGACCAAACACCAAACTTTGGCCAGTTTTTAAAATCTGGCTCTGGACCAAACGACCTCTAGGTTTTCCGGACTTCGCGGTATAGTATTCGTAGCATCAACGCTACATCCCTTTTATGTAAGAAATACACTTGAAAATGATGTGAAGAGGATGTAAACTCACAAGCCCGGCTGTAAGCGATACTCTCAACTCGGTCATATTTGTCGAAATGACGATATGACTGACACCTTGAAGTGTCATCACGAATGGGCTCTCCGTCGTGGTCACTTTAAAATGCATCAGTTGGTCCATGTATATAGATTTGTTATTCGTTGCCAAATGCAAGACTATAAAACGACATGGTTACTCATGATTATTCGCTTTGCAAGACTCCTTCTCAATCGATCGGCTCTGTTTAGCTGCCTACCAAAAGTCTCGCAGGAAATCTTATATAGAAGTATGATCCTGACCCCCAATATCATGACGAGAACCGCCCCTTGACCGATCCTCTCAAAGAAAAGTCCTTCCACCCAACAGTCGAAATTGACGACTCCTAAGTCCAAATTGCAAGAAAATGTTGCCAGGAACTCATCGCAAATTTTGACTAGGCGAACTTATATGAATCCGAAAGTGGATCCGGTAGCCCGGGCGAACTGATAAATCCCGTCGTTCTTAGTTGCTCTCTGGGGCCTCGACTAGGACCGGCGAGGCCGGATCCTATCACGATGGCACTTTTCCTAAAGCTATCAGCGGTGTACTAGGCACGGCTGATTTGTCAGTTGTTGGTGAGGGGAGATGAGATTCCGTCGAAGATTCGATTGGGAGGGCGATGAAGAGCGAGATGGAGATGAGTAGTATAAGGCGTTGGCGACCCATACGTGGTTCTTTGCACCATGAAAGTACCTATGCTTAAAGCACCTGGAGCACTTCGTATATATTCCGCGCTTTTCATTGATTGTGCTCATGGGTCGGGCGGTTGGGACAACAGCTGATTTGGAAAAAAGAATCGTGCATATTTACTCCGTTGGTGCAAGCGAGAGACTGCCTCTACTCACAATTATGAGGAAGTATGGGAATTGATACGAAATTTATTAAGAATAGGTAATTAAGATCCTCGGTCTATTCAAGTCATTAAAAAGCTCTACAGATCCTCCTTCGTCCCCTCTTCCATAAATTTCCGTTTCGCGGTCATGTTCTCTGTGACTGCCCAGTCATCAATCTGAACTAGATCGCTCGCAGTGAAACGCTGCTTAGCAAGAACGTAATTCTCCTCCAAAGCTTTCCAGTCAACAACACCTTCCGGCCTCTCCTCAACCTGAGGCTTGATCCACGTCTTATCCTCAACAAAGTCATGAACATCGTCAACACCCCACGTCTGCCATCTATCCTGGCTTGCCACATCCAGGTATCGGTAAATACTGAAACTCGTTCCCATATCCTCGCTTCGGAATTGAGCCTTGTCTCCCCATGTCACAAGACCCTCCGTACCAGCAGGATATGTGACATTGAGGGCTTCAACCCTTCGGCTTGTGCTCAAGCTGCGCATCAAGGCAATCGAGACTTCGAATTTACCGAGCTTGGTTGCGAAACCACCGCGAGCATAGCTCAACCACTTGGTGAGTTTGGGCTGAATTTCCCATGTTTCCCCGAGGGGAGACAGCAGCTTGATACCTAGGATACCTTGCATCAAGACGGTGGTTGGGCCTGTTGCCCAGCCGTGAGCATGCGAATTGCGGGATAGTTGCCAGTATGCTGGATAATGGATGTATCCATCAATCCTGTAACCTTCGCACAGCGTAGAGTTCGTCATGCCCGGTCCGTCTAACATGAATCCCCACATATGCTCGATCAACTCCACGGCAGCGTCGTTGTTATTAGCGGCGCTGTGACCAAGCAGCTCAAAAGAAGATGCAAATGGTGATATCACGTTCGGAAACTCCACTGCTGGAGCACCAGCCTTGACCCATCGTTTCCGCAAATTCTCGGAAACGTTGTAAGCAGTAGACCCGGACACTACCGCCCCCGAAATCAAGGCCCAACTGTTTCCATCTTGTGGGAGGACTTTCTCAGGTCCACTGCAGCCTCGTCGGCCTATGTTATCGCCGTACAAACCATCCTCTTGGCAGTACAAGGTGGAGATACCTTTATACAGCCGTTGTCGGGTCTTAGACCAGTCTTCGCCGTCAGAGGTAGCGTTCTTGCCGATCCAGCTGGCAAGTTTGATGCTGTTTGCAAGAACATCAAGTAGAATAGACGAGGCCTCAACATTATGACCGGTCATCCCTGGCCGAATCCAATCGTTTCTAGAGGACACATGCAAAAGACCTGTTTCGTCAACCTTTCGGATGCTGACTGCAAGCGCAGTAGTGTAGGCATTCCACCTCTCTTCGAGCCAATCGAGATCACCCGAGTACAGAACATATTGATATGTTCCGACTAAGGTGTGAAGGTGGTATGTATCACTGAACTCGCCAAAGGCCCCCATCGGAGGCCCGGCATACGGCATAGAGCCGTCGGAATACTGGCGATGGTATATAATATCGAGTGCATTTCTCACTGCCAGCATATCGTACGTCGAAACTGCGATTCCGGGCACAGCAATGGTCATATCGCCAGGCCAAACCATCCTGTCTCGTTTCGCTCCGTCGGTTGTGACGGCAGTGCCATTGGCAATGGTATAGTTGGAGTACCAAGCCCCTGGAGGTGCACGGTTGTGATCAAAATTGCGATTGAAGTTGATAAGAGATCCACCCTCCTTTGGATCTAAAGTGGAGAGCTGTAAGGTATAGGCGCCTGCATACCAGACACGGTTCAAAATGGAAGAAGAGCTGTCGAAGTATCCTGTGTAAGCTCTCCCATTCGGATTCGAGGGAAATGCGGTACAATTGACCCAGATCTTCGAGATGGTAACCGCAGGCTCTTTCAGTGCTTCGTTCTTGGTGTCAGTATCCAGTCCCAATAGTTTCTGTCGAATCGTATGGTACCAAGATTGCTTTTTCACAGAAATCTTCGGCGCTGAATGTCCCTCATGCCAGTATCCGCCTTCAGTGGGAGTATCTGAAGTTGGCATATACACAGTCAGGTACTTGAAACCCCCTCTATTGTAACCTCCTCCAACGCAGTTCGTCCCAGTATGATTCAAAGAGAAAGAAAGCGGCAGGTCTCTATCGTCATCACCAGTTGCATCGCATTCTCGGTCTGCGAAGAAGGAAGATTCGGAGTAGGCCAGCACAACATAGGGATCGCCCTTGATGGAGTCGACCTCAAAACATACTCTGTATTTATATTAGCATATGCTCTACTCTAGAAGATGTACGAAACTCACTTCCCAGCAACATTCTCTCCAAACTCAAAGGTAACCAAACCTCCCAGGCCGATCACCCAACTAATGCTTCGCTCGGTTTTCGCATCTTGCAAAACAGACTCGAGGCCAGAGACCGCGCCTTCGAATTTGAATATCTTATTTGGCGTAATGTATGACTTGTTGAAAGGAGCTCGTATATTGCTCTCCCATGGCCCAGGGAATATCGTGTCTAACGGGAGGGAATGGTAATCCGGTCCATCAAATTTTGCAGCTCGCGCCGCTATTCCTGCCAAAAATGAGACGCTGAGGACTTCTAGGCAACGGAATTGCATGCCGAAAGAAATGCAGAAGATATATTCTCATTTACCACAGTACACCGTCTAGTATTCTAATCTAAAGAACTGTAAGAATCTGGAGGAAGAAGAGGTTAATGTGGTAGAGGGGTCAGACAGCTCAAAAGTCTGGAGGTCATGATGCATTATTCAGTCCAAGGGCAACCAATGAGGGGTAAGTGATCGGCCTGCACCTGGTGGTCAATCCTTGAGTCGTGGCGTCCGGGGAAGCATGGTTGATTTGAGTCATTGATCTGAGAACCAAAAATCGAGATTCGTTGCTGAGTTCCTGATCATACACCTGCATCTTCAAGGGTATCATTTCCTATCCTACCCGTTAACTCCAATCCCAGTACGCCAATTGAATACCAGACCACCCCATGCCTCACTCCTTCTTCCACTCCTCGAACTCCTCCCTCAAATGCTCCTTCAGCTTCACAAACTTATTTCCAAAGTTCTTCTCACATCTCCAGCACTCCATATCCCTATTCAGGTACTCCGCCTTCCTCCTCACATCATCCTTCGCCAATGGAAAATCCGCCAAATCCACAAAGAAAGCCGTGGCAAAACTATTGTAATGCTTTCGGTGTTTCAGGCACTCAGAGTAACGATCGATGCTCAGAACATGGATATGTAGGTGGTTCATACTCGGATGAGCGTGGATGCCGACTTTCACATCCTTGGTCCAGTCTCTACCCACGGGCATTTCTTCCCCACGCGCAAGCTCAATCTCCTTATTCAGAACTTTCTGCCTGGGAGAATCTTGTTTTGAGAACTTTCCGTATCTTTGCTGCAACTCCTTGCCCACGTAGTCCCGTAACTTCGTAGCTTGTTCTCGTACGCTGGCAAGGAATTCGGCATCTTCGAAGGCATCGAATGGATGCTGCAGAGTATGCTTCTGGGATCGTGGTAGGAGAAGGGTATGGACGCTCGACTTGGGATACAGGTCATGGATTGCCACAAAGTTCTCATCGTAACAAATTACGCGCGAGGCGTCGAATTTCTCCGGGTGGTCGATGTAGGGACCAAGACCATCTCTTCCGAAGACCGGATTCTTGCTGTGCGGCTTTTTCGAGGGGCCAGAGCAGGGAGACGAGGCTTTTCGTTTGTTCATGATGGCTGAGACTGTTTCGCGTCAGTAGAGAATGTGCAGATAGTTTGCGCTGGCGTACAGGCGTTGAGGGAGGGCGAGGCTGATGACGAGGCTGATGCTGCTGTGTCTGCGATTTCACATCCAGTTATGGCGTCTTTGCGCGTTTTCTCTGACATCTCGATGGTAATTAACAAGGCGTCGAAGTCGAATCTTTGTCTGTAGATAAATATGTTCGTCGCCGAAGTCCCGAGTTTGAATGAAGCTCGTTGCCAATTCCAGCTCCGAGTAGCCGAAGTCCTGCCGATAGCCCCACTCACTCCTTCCCCTTTTCCCTCTCTCTCGGCTAAATGAGCGAGTGTTTTATTTACCTGTGATTCCTTCTATCAGAGCAACACTTTTCTGCAATTAAATTTAATTATTTTCCATTGTTCATACCGTCCGGCTATCCGGATTCTGGGACTGCTCGGATCGAGGCCGGAATTTTATGCTTTTTAGGGGAGCGTGGGGGACGATCTTATCGGGATGCAAGAGATGGCAGTCAGGGAAAGCTTGCCTTGGGTTTGCTCATGAATATCCAGAGAGCACAGTTCGGCTCGAGGAACGGGTTTCGAAATCAAAGTCTAGAAGCGTGATCTGGTAGGCAACCCCCCCCCCCCTTCCCTCGTGGTTATTGCCTGACACCCCCACCTTCCTCACCTTCCTCACCTTCCTCACCTTCCTCACCTTCCTCACTTTCCTCACCTTCCTCAATTTCCTCCCCTCTCTCTTTTCGCGGCATTCCTCCCCCCGTAACATCTCACCGATTCGCAATAGCCCACCTGCTGAAGAGGGTGAATGGACTGCTTGCCACGATTTCTGGCGTGAATGGTCGCAAAGCCACAAGAATGTGACCCATGAGCTTTCGATCTAGCCTGCTATGAACATCGAAACCTCCCGTTGGAACCTCGAACTCACCAAAACTATTCCAGGCCGAGCGTCAACTGTCAAAACCCAAGACAACAGCCAGAAAATGAGTGGCCGCCACCGTTGGTCCGAACAAGACTCGGTATTTGAAATCCCTCTTGTCACCTTCACTTATCTGACGAAGTTACAGGACGAGGCTCGCCTGCCGGCAGGTATGGTAGGTAACGGGGAACTATTTCCTCTCCTCCTCCTCCTCCTCCTCCTCCTGCACTTTCCCAAATCCTTTTCAGACAGGCAATCGCTGACTCCCCCATGTCCTCCTAGAGGAGGGTTGGCTACGATGCCGATACGCAAACTTACAGCTATGAAGATTCCGACGGAAGCTACTGGAAAGGAGAGCCAGGATCGAGATACGGGACCCTTCGTCCATGTAGGTTATTTCGTTGTTAAAGCTATCAGACTTCAGAGTGGTGGCTGACAGTGCATTTTTGGAGGCGGGAATTCGACAAGTAGAATGATGAGGTCCGAAAGTGCCACGAGCAAGCCACCCACGATAGAATCTGGTGACGAGAATATCGATATGAGACTAGAGGGAACGGAGTCTACCACGCCTTCTAGGAACTTAAACATGATCAAATCCGAAGCTTCGAAGGTGGCCCTTAAAGCTGTTAGTGTAGCCAAGAGGCTTGCCACAACAGTGCAACATCAGGATCTTGGGAAGAAGCCCTCGTCTAGTATGAGTGGTTGGGAACAGGGGCCACCAACGAGACTTCGAAGAGCAGCGACTATGGGAGACAGGGTCTTATCGGTAGATCCAAAAATTCACAGCAAAGCCATGAGATCAGGGAGTTTGAGAGACAAACCTGCTCCTACCTCAAACAGAGATTCTGGCCAGGAAGGAGGCACCAATGAGCTCAGGTAGAAATTGCTCAGTCATACAATCGAGGTCCATCGTATGGATGATAATAAAACGCGTGATTCTTCTCAACCTGTGATGAGATTCTCTCTGCATTCGGTATCCATTTCTCCTCCACGGCATTGATTTATGTCTCTCTTGGAGAAGACGAAGATGATCAAGGTTGGTATACATAGTACTTATTCCTACATTGGCGGTCGCGTGCCTTGTTGCGCACTGGGGTTGGGCTTGAAGCGTCGAGCGATGTAGGCGTGTCATCAAGCTGACATCCAGATGACGAGACAGGATAATAGTCCGATATTCCCCCAAGCTTCCACAAGAAGCGACCAAGCTAGCGTGAATCAGAAAAATATCCCGGGCCGGCGAGCTTTTTTCCGCTGCTACATATTACCACCAAAACACTTTGCTTCGGCCACAGTGGAGTGACCTCGAATTACTCCACTGTGGCCCAGTGGTGGTGGGCTTTACGATCTCTTCATGTGCCTGGTCACCCCGTTAGTTACTAATGGGGTGATTGGGTAACTGAAGGGGTGACCAGGCACATGAGGAGATCGATCAGAGTAAACCAGCTTCCTCGGAAGTGAGTTTCTCTACCCTGCTTCGGCGGGGGTTTCTTTTGCATTTTTTTTGTCAAATTTTTATCAACGGGATCGTAGTACATACATGCACCTTTTACTCTCCTACGTAGATGCTTAATCACGGGCCGCACCGCGAAATGAACTTGTTGTTAGGAATAGGTCATGCCACGGGACTACAAAGTGTTAGGGGCCACTAGTGCAACTGCGGAGCCCACTAGGTAGTAGCGGACCAACAAAAAAAGATAACTATTGATTGTTCTTGCATAGAGATTGATCGGCTGTTTACCTACCACCCCATATTGGGGAACCCTAAGTCAATACTTGTTGATATTCCGGAGTAGGTCCACTTCCCTCTCTGGCTTAGCTCAGGTAGCCTACTTAAAAAACACTGCCACGACAAAACCTCCTTCTCCATGAACTTCTAATCGATTCAACATATCGCATGGAGCTAAGTAAGATACGAGAATGCGCTGTGCTACTCTTTTTCTGCTGTTCAGGATGGATTTGGCGGGACCGACTGGCAAGAGATAGGAGTATAGTCTCAACGAATGAAGCTGGGGATGTACTGATAGAATCAAAGGTTTAGAAGGTGTTGATCCTCGACAGGGAGAGCTGAGAGCTAGCTATACAGAGTATGCTACGTACAATTGGACGAGCCAAGTGACCAACCCCAATAGGTAGGCAGGTAAATGATAGTCTACACCTCATATTTCTATCATATATGTACCTGCTTCGAAAGCGGCACAGTCCAGTCTTCGTGCTGTTTTCGCTTTCCTCATGGTGGTTTTGTTTACTGATGCGTATGGGAGGAGCTGAGTTGGAATGATGATAAGGTAAGTAAACAACCAAGAACTTTGAGATGGCAGTAGCATATCACAGATGGAACTGAGCCCGGTCGATTTCAGGTATTTAATCATCATAGCGGTGATGGCGAGCACGATATTGATCGGCAGGATTACGAATACGTGCATATGTCAGGTCGGCTTGAAGTAAATGTAATAATGGTATCCGTAATTCTGATAATCTTGCACAAGTTCTCGGGGGGGTTCTCAAGTTCGGAAAAGGACAGTTGATTATTGATTATGGTATCCGCTATGTCATCCTCTGCTTGGGCTTGATCGAAACTGGAAACCACCCTATCCGGATAAGGAGAACAGTGGTGTCTGAGCTAGGCAGAAACACACATCACTTCATTAAAAACCAACATGACTGAATGGCAGCGCTGCCTGGGTCGTCAAGGCTAGTAATCCAATCGAGCTCAGATATACGGCGAGGTCAACAAAGACTTCTGCCATTCTAACACTGCCTTCTTCTCAGGACTCCCGGGCTTTAGGTCCACGATCCATCCGACCGCCTCTCCATCAGAAGGCGTTTCTTCTTTCAAATTCACGATGACATCATCATTATCCTTAGGCTCAGCCGTCCCAAACGTCTCCCATTTAGTACCCTGATAGAAATCAACCACATCATCATCGAGCGGTAACTGGTCCCTCGAGAATCCCGTCACAGTGACACCCTCAATATTCGTTCCCCTGGATAGAGCGACGTAGAACTGCCCAGTCTCAAAGATGTTCCGCGATGAAACCTCGATGTAATCCAACGTCATACCCTGGCTTTTGTGAATAGTGAGAGCCCAGGCCAGCGTCAATGGGATTTGTACTCTCGTAGCCAAATACGGCATTTTTTTCGTCCCATATTGCGACGTCGAATCGATTGCAAAAACCGGCATAATGATACCGTTTGCGAACCTGACGACGGGGGCAGAGAAGGTGTCCCAGTGACGCTTGGTATTGCCCGGCCCAATTTTTGGCTTGCCTTCGATGAATTTGATTTCCGGATCGCAATCAACCCCATCCATTTTCTGAAAGCCGACAACGACGCCCTGTGAGCCATTCACGAGCCCACGTTGCTGATTGAAGTTGTGAAGGAGCACGACTTTGGCTCCAACTTTCAGTACTAGGCACTCGGGGAGTCGGTGATTCTTGAGCGGCTGGTCTGACTCCCATGGCCTGCTGTGGTTCCATTTTGGAAATGGATATTTCTTCTCGTAACGGTTGACTGCGGTCCAGGACTTTGATGGAAGCTTGATAGCCTGAAGCTCTGCTCTGTTGATCTCGGCTACTTGCCTCCTTCGAGACATCAGCCTCACTGGATATATGCCATGAAGCGGAGGAGGCTTTATCCGTTCTAGACTATCCCATTCCTCTAGCGTTAAGGAAATCCCGTGTCGGATATTGGTCAAAATATCCTTGAATTGCTTATCTTTTTGGCGATGAATCCGTTGAAGCTGGATATGCCTGAGATTCAACCGCTTCCAAACAGGTGCCTGGAAAGCCCACTTACTTCCCTCTCTGAAAGCTAGCCCTCGATTAGTGCATCCGTCTTCGTCGCATACAAAGGTGCACTCTCCGTGATCAACTTTTGTCATCATACTACCACAATGAAGACAGAATTCAAAAGGCTTGACGGGAGGTAGCTGGTGAAAATCACCGAGGAAAATTACCTGCTTTCCACCAAATGGTGAGCTGTTCGTCATAACATCTTGTAAGATCAGATTCATTCGTTCCAGATTCTGATTCTCCACCATTGAAATCTCTTCGACGATGAGCACTTGTGCCTTTCTGATTCCCTTCCTGATGTAGGGTTTCATATCATTCAAGATATCATCGAGAGATTTTCGAAGCGTGTCCGGCTTCCAGCCCATGAAAGAGTGTATGGTCTTGCCACCAAGGGGTAGCGCGGCGATTCCTGTAGGGGCTACAACCTGATATTTTTTCTTTCTTGTCTTCAGGCACCGAAGAATTTCTTTGAGAGTCACTGTCTTGCCGGAGCCTCCGGCGCCCGTTAGAAACATGTTATGCCCTCGCATAGCCAAGCTGACTACTTCCTCTTGCTCCACTGTGAGCTCAACACCAGGATCTTGAGTGATTGCCTCCCATTCGTCGTCTGACTCGTTCCTGGAAATGCGCTGCCGCTTTTCGGCCGCTTGATATTGGTAATCGTCAAGGTCACTACAATCTGTGGGCCGTTTCAAGTTCCTAGGTTTTTCCAATTCTTCTCTATCTGCGAAGAATGTTAGCACGATGACCTGTAGGTACTGAAGGAACAACTGATCCGTAAAATACCAGAGTCATAATCCGAGTCCATAACCTCCTCCTTTATTGGCTTGCCCTCAAGTCTACCTGCTACGAAGACCCGGATGGGTTTTTCGGCATCCTGCCTGGCCGTGTGTTCTGCCCACGCCTTTTCGGCTTCCTCAAATCTCTCATACCCAAGCTGATATCCCTTCGAGAAGCCTAAAACTTGGGCACTGCATTCGTCCCACGTCCGGTAAAGTCCTGGTATCCTTCCCCTAAATACAACGTATGCTTCCTTCTTATTCTTTCGCGCCATGTCGCCACTCGATATCGATGAATGCTGCTGCCTAGTTATGCTGCGAGGGTTCCAGTGGGCGCATAATCATAAGTATTCTTGAGGCTTCGATGCTTCACTTTTTTATATACAATAAGGGCCGCAGAGGCTTGGTTGATGCAGGCGCATTTGGAGTTTCGCGCAACGCGTGAACCGAAGGTCTGTGCTTTTAATACAGGCACCCCGATGTTTAAGCGAGCCCCCTTGGATTTGACTTGTTTGACTGCTATTGATGAATTCTCACTTGGAACATTTCAGATTGGCTATTCTGAGCTCGAATTTGCGAGCTTCTTCCGTTGAAGTTTTATCCAGAGTTTTGACAGCTTCGAAATTTTGGGCCCGTTCGGATGCGAACACGACACACACGAATAGTCTGCTGTGTTCATCCACTCTTCACTTCGCCACATCACCTCAAGCCTTCCCACAACTTCCCACCATCCTCATCAACTTCTCAACCTCCTCCTGGAAGATATCGATGCTATCTTCTATCAGTTTCGTCAGAGGCGTGAACTCCGTTCTTGTCTTCATCATATCTCTCCACGGACCCACCAATTGCGCATTAACATTGATCTTCGAAATGCCCCTCTGGATGCAGTCCTGGTAGATATCCTCCGTGAACTCGCCACTTCCATGAAGCACCAGTCTGACCTTTCCTTGCGATGCTTTCTGCACCGATTCAAGGCGTTCGAACTGGAGATGCGCTCGAGGACCTTTGCTACTATACGCACCATGCACATTTCCGAATGCAGGAGCTAAGTAGTCAATACCCGTGTCGATAAACTCCTGCGCTTGCTCAGACGTCGTCATGACGCCTTCCAGCTCAGCAGTATCCTTGACTCCGTCTTCGCCGCCTTCAATCCTTCCTGGCTCAGCCTCGGTCGCGATGCCCCTCTCGTGGCAATACTCAGTGAGTTCCTTCGTCAACCGCAAATTCTCCTCCTTCTCATGATGCGACATATCGACCATGATCGAGTCAAAGGGTAGCGAAGCTGCGTATTTGACTAGCTCGACGTCCTGACAATGGTCAAGGTGGAGTGAAACGGGAACTTTGGCTGAGCGGCAGGCGTCTGCCGCCATGTTGACGAGGATGTGTCCGAACTTTTGCATGGCCCAAGGGAAGAGGAGGATCATTGCTGGGGATTTGGTTGTTTCTGCTGCCCGAACCGTTGCGAATATCTCCTCGAGGTTGTACTGCATCATGTCAGGAACAGGAGAGCTCGTTAGAGTTGGAATGACTGACTTACGCAGCACACCGCAACGACCCCATAGCTACCTTTCTCAGCGGCATCTAAGATGGCAGTGCTCTTATTCTCCGCGAGGGGCTTCGTGGCAGCCATGACGATTAATTTCCTAGAAAACAATCGATTGCTCTATGAAGTTCAATACTTCGAGACCCCAAATACGGCGTAGTGAGGAAGAAGACAATGACCAGTAACTTACGAAGTATTGACAAGAAGAAAGAGATTATCCAGAAGACAGAATTCAAACTGTTATGGATATGCCGGGAACTATACGGAAAAGAGTTCGCCGTCAGAGCCCGTCAACAACTCGGGGATGTCACCGAGAACCAAAGCCGCAGTATAGAAGAGGGGTGTTGGGGACGGATGATATCCGGCCACCAATCAAGAGTGGGCTGTTGACATCGGAAATGTGCCGATATACATCCAAACGCGCAAGAAACGTGACCGATATATAGAGTGCCAGGTCATGAAAGAATGGGATCCGTGACTTCACAATGAGTAATAGTAAGAGTCAACCTCAAAACTTTTAAGGCCTTTCAAGTCAAACTCAAAGATCTTTTACTCATTCACCTATTCACACCCCATTGCCAAGATGAAGGTCCTCATCACCGGCGCGGCCGGTTTCATCGGCCAGCTTTTGGCAGAGGTCCTTCTGAACGAGGAGAGCTATACAGTCGTGCTCAGCGACATCATCCTTCCGCCCATTCCAAGGGGTGTAAAATATTCTCAGAATGCTAAGGCCGTCAAGACTGATCTGTCTGAGGACGCCAGCACAGTGGTCGACGCATCGCTAGACGCAGCGTTTGTTTTCCACGGCATCATGTCCTCGGGTGCAGAGGAGAAATTTGACTTCGGAATGAAGGTCAATCTCGACGCGACACGCAGACTCCTGGAGGCTTGTCGAGCCGTCCGCCCTGGCATCCGGGTGATCTACGCCTCGAGCCAGGCCGTCTACGGACGACCATTCCCTGCGGTGGTGGATGAGGATGTGCGACCTACGCCTGAATCCTCTTACGGCGCGGCCAAATTGATGTGCGAGACGCTGGTCAATGACTACACGCGACGGAAATTCATCGACGGCATCGTACTGCGCTTTCCCACCATCTCCGTTCGTCCCGGAAAGCCAACTGCTGCGGCAAGCAGTTTTCTGAGTGGCATGATCAGGGAGCCAATCAACGGGCTGGAATCGATCATCCCGCTGAAGGATCGCTCGTTCGGATCATGGGTGTGCTCGCCGCGGACGCTTGTCCATAATCTGATGCACGCCTTGACGCTGGACACGACGTTGATGCCTCCGCATGTACGCGAGGTCAACCTCCCGGGTATACACGTGACTATCCAGGACATGATGGATGCGCTGGAGAAGGTCGCTGGGAAGGACAAGTTGCAGTACCTCACGCAAGAGGATGACCCGGCCACGGAGGCGATCTTGAGGAGTTGGGCAGACAGGTTTGACAACAAGTACGCGTACAGCCTGGGCTTCAAGCCGGATGGCTCGTTTGAAGAAGCGGTGGAGGATTACTGGAAGAGTGTGGTGTAGAACAAGAAATTTACGGCTTACGGAGTACGTAAGTGAGCTGAGTAGGAAAAGAGCTTGGATTGATGTATCTGCACTCATACAGGTAATCGTACCATTGGTCGGAGTACAAGTTAGAGGCAAGATTGCGGTTTTTAATACTCTGGGGTGATACGGTCAATTTTTTCTTGATTTTTCTTCTAACACATACATCTCTTAAAATTTTCAATAGAAAAATTAATTATGAGAAAAAATATTATTCTTTAATAATAGAGACTTACTTTAAGAAATATTTTAAGAGTCAATAGAGTTTTGGAACGCAATTATATTCGTATTTCAACTTCATCGGCGCTATTTAAACAATTTTCAATCAAGTAAACAACTCAGTAATTAAGCAATTACAAATAATTCCATATAACCTTTTAAAATCGTAATCGCCAGCTTTAAATCGATATTCTTCCTCATTTTCAATAACTTAAAGTAATAATAGATCGATCGGTTCTTGCAAGTTCGCCGTATTATATAAAGTGCGCCGACCATTTTAAAAGCCTCGCATTTCTTTTCAGATAGCTAGGTACTTATATATTATATAATTTGTATTTTTCAAAGATTTTTTATTTTATTAAATGATCCATTTAGGTCGATAAGTAAAAAGGTTCGATTTAAATTGCGTAATGACGAAAAATGCAATTTTGGTTTTATCTTCTTCTCAGCTTTCAAAGTGGTATAAATTTTAATCCACCTTTCAAAGCTTGTGGCTGTACAGAGTTGAAGCTGTCAAACGTAAAGAGTTATGGTGCGAAATAAAAGTTCACGCATTAGCAGTGAGAGGTGACTGTGCCACGACGCGGACCTCGAACCATTGCATGATGCCGGCTTCGAATATGTTCCTCTCAAGATCAAAAATCGCCCTTGCTCTAAGTGCGAAAAACACAAGATCAAATGCGCGTTTGATACAGGCGAGGCAAAGCGTCGTCGATGCCTTCGCCCGAAAACCTCTCATGTGTAACCGACAACACTCTGAAGAGGTTAGTTGACAAAGACACGAAATGGAAAAATCTCCGCGGGCAGCGCAGGTATCGAAGCTCGAGGCTGCCGTCTTCAATACCCTTCGCCGACCGCAGCTTACTTCCAAACCTGGACTCCTGCGGAACAGATCATCCGCTAGTCAACGCCACGAGCTGTTGAGACAGGGCGAGGTAGAAAAACCTCTCGAGAGCTAGATCTGGACGAGAACACCGTGTCGGCTCCCACAGCTACTTTACATGAAGTGACGAAACTGTTGTACTCCAAGATCTCGCCGGATTGGCAACGTCCCCGAAATCAGCAATGCACTTAGGACAGACTTCATCTCGGGAAGTGCTCCCAGTCTGGACGTGTGCTGAAAGTCTATTCCAATCTTGCAACTTTACTGCGAATCGGCTGCTGCTTTTTTGGGATGGTCTCGTGATAAAGCACCTCAGTTTTGAATATGTACATGTTCGACGCTCTTTCTTTGTCTCTGCTCTCGACCTCGGTCCTTGCCGTGGCTGCGCTCCAAAAAAAAAGGCAGAAGTAGAGCATTGGATGAATGCAGACCTCTTTCTACGAGGATCGAGGTTCACTTTTTCGGAACGACGTTCAGTAACTGTTGATGACCAACCATGCCACTTAAGCAGAAAAATGGCTATCCGCCAGTGCATCTGCTTCAGCCGGGTACGTTCTGAGAGGGGCGCTTTTTCTTGCACTAGGGATCCACTCCCGGACGGATGACATCGTCTCAACAACAGCCCTAGACTTTATGACTTCTCAGCGGCAAGACAATGTTAGCTTCTCTTGAATCCTGGTTGATCACAGGGAGATGTTCTGCTCTCAACACATCTCAAGCCATTATCATATTCAGCTCCCTTACGAACCTCTATCCCCGCACCTTTGTCGATCTCATAAGTGGGGCCACCTATGTTGGGATCGTTTTCGGCAGATGCAGAAGTAATACTCGTCGGACCACGTCTCGGACTTAAGAGGTTCGTTCAGAACCGATATCACTCTCAAATCTGTAAAGACCGCAAGGTTAAACGAGCAGGACCGAGCCCGAGAAGAGATCTGATCTGATCTGAATCGGGTAGGCCACGGCATCGTCTGAATATTTCCTTCCAAGCCATACATACATAACGATCGTGGAGGTCCTGCTGCCGCCCAGCCCAGCCCAATCGCCAAGAAAGACGAATGCCCTCAACTTCCATCAAAGACACAGAAAGCCAAGCGGTGAGCAAGCTTTTCTTTCTCCCCAGAGAGAGTCGTATCATCCAGGAAATATGACTGGAGGGGAAAAGCTCTCACGGTCTGGAGTAGGGATCATTCATGCGTCCTAATATAAAAACGTTGGGGAAGGGGGGACTCGGGGGATGTCAAGATAACGACTCAACGCCGAGAGATATCCACTTTTGCCGACGGGACCGGGGCGACACAAGCCTTTTGCAAAGCTTCATCTCTGGTGGGCTCGTGGGTCATTTTGAGATGTTCCCCATGAATAGACCAAGAAAGGGGTCCAATGGGTTTGGCCGACTTCTCCACTTCCTGCTGTCTGGTTGAGGGGCCGGAGAAGGACCGCCTCCTTCCCCTCACACCTCCTCCATCTGGGGCATGGGAGTTGCTTCGTGGGGAAAAGCCTGGTAAAGCTTGGTTGGGAGACAGGAAAGTATTCCCTCTCTCCTATAAAGCCAACAAGCGCTGCAGAAAGAAAGTAAAATCAAGAACAACCATAAAGCTCGATCCGATCCCAACCAAGAAAAAAATAAAAAAAATCCAGCAAGATGTCAGTCCTGCAGAAGCTCAATCCGGGAGGGAAGCAAGTTGAGGAAACGGTTGATTTCGACGAGGAGAAACTCGAGACGGGTCTGGAAACACGACTTCGTCGTCCAGCCTCCCTAGCAGCGTTGTCGGATGAGGAATACGACAAGGTGGGCCGGAGCGCGACCTTCAAGATGGACATCTCCATCATGCCCTGCCTGGTCATCATGTTCATCATGAACTTCCTCGACCGGCAGAACATAGCCGCTGCAAAGCTCGCCGGCATCGACGAGGATCTGAAGCTCACGGCCGTCCAGTACCAGACGTGTGTCAGCATCTTGTTCGTCGGATACAGTAAGCACTTACCGTTCCGTCAACCCTCGAGCTTGTCTCCTCACACCTGCATAAGAATGATGCAAAAAAAAAGAAAAAAAAATGTTGAACAGAAAATGCGCACACACTAGTCTCCATGCAAGTCCCCTCCAATATGATCGTGGGAAAGATCCCACGGCCAGGCGTCTACATCTGCTTCGCGATGGCCATCTGGGGCGCCATCTCGGCCTGCATGGCCGCCACGCACTCCTACACGGGCCTGATCCTGGGCCGCTTCGCCCTCGGCTTCGTCGAGGCCGTCTTCTTCCCGGGCGCGCTTTACTTCCTGAGCCTGTTCTACAACCGGCAGCAGTACACGCTGCGCGTCGCCGTGCTCTACGCCGGCTCGCAGCTCGGCAACGGCTTCGGCGGCCTCTTCGCCATCGCCATCCTGGAGCTGGACGGCCGGTACGGGATCGCGGGCTGGCGCTGGCTGTTCGTCATCGAGGGCGTGGCGACGGTGGGCCTGGCCATCGCCTTCGCCTTCGTCCTGCCGGATTCGCCGCAGCGGGTGCGGGGGCAGACGGATCGGGAGCGCGGATGGGTCGCGTACAACTTCGCCCGGGATCAGGGACAGGAGGATCACTCGGGTGAGATGGGCGCGTGGAAGGGCTTGCGGATGGCGGTCGTGGATCCCAAGACTTGGCTCCTGCTGGGCCTTCTCATGTCCGTAAGTTGAGGTGCTCTCTCACTTGCTTCCCACGGCTGCTCACGTACTCTGCTTCCCTCCTCGGCTGTACCGTGCTAAGCCACCATCTTCGGCAAACCAAACCAGATCTTCGTTGCCGCCGCCGTATCGAATTTCTTCCCTTCCGTCGTCGCCACTCTCGGCTACGATCGAACAACAACATATGGTCTCACAGCCGTAAGTCCAGTCCCCTCCCCTCCCCTTATCCGGCGGCACACCCCTCCCTCCCCCCAAGAATTCCGAATCCATCACGCAACGGCCCTCCACTAACTTTGTGTGAAATGGGGGGGGGGAGAAAAAAAGCCACCATACATCCTCTCCGTGATCAGCATGCTCTGCATCGGTTTCCACTCAGACAAGGTTCGCCAGGCTACACCCAGCACCCAGTCCAGTCAAGTCACAGTCAACTCACAGACAAGTCACTAACCCCTTTCCCCCCCTCCGTCAAATAGAAACAAGAGCGGTATCTCCACATCGTCCTTCCCCTCTGCGTGACCCTCGTCGCAAACATTATCGCGGTATCGACGCTCAGCACCGGCGCACGGTGTAAGCGCCTCCTCTCGCTTCGCTTCGCTTAGCAAAAATATATATACAAAAAGAAAAAAGAAAAAAGAAAAAAACTAAAACTAAAACTAAAACAAAAAACAGACACAGCAATGATGCTAATGCCCGCTTCCTTCTACTCCGCCACGGCAGTCGTCCTCTCCTGGGTAGCAGGGAGTCTCAACCAGCCAGCCATCAAGCGCGCCTCCGCCATCGCCCTCATCAACTGCCTGAGCAATACCCCGAACAGTACGTTTACGTCTACATTCATTACGTTTACGTTACGTCTATATAAAAAAAATCAATACTCTTCATCGCAGATATTCCCCCCTCCCCCTTATCCCCCCCTTACCCGGCCCCAATCCATCCATCTACCTATCTAGCTAACAACCCCCCTCCTCCCCCTTCCACAGTCTGGACCTCCTACCTCTACTACGCCCCACCCCGCTACCTCACCGCCTTCATCGTCAACATGGCGGCCGCCGCCCTCGCCATCCTCTTCGCGACCGGCACGCGCTCCTACCTGCGTCGACAGAACGCGAAGATGGAGAAGGGCCTGCCAACGGGCGTCGGTGGGCCCACGGAGGCGCAGAGGGCGGCTGGATTTCGGTATTTGCTTTGAGGAGGAAGAGAGAAGAGAGAGGGAAGAGGGGGAAGAGGGGGAAGAGGGGGGAGAAGGGGAAGAGGAGGACACTTCGCGGATTGAATTTTATATCTCAAGGTTGACTGACCTAGCTCCCCAGCCTAGTTAGCTGTCTGTGAATAGATTCTATTTGGATGAGAATGTGGATATGTGTGAATACTCCTGCGATGAATTCGGAATCCATAGAGTCCGATAGATACCTAGATCGATAGATAAATGGCGCGGCGATCACTGAACAAGGACCAAGTATGTAAGCTGGCTGGATTGACTTGAATTCACAGGCTTCCTCCTCCTCCCCCTCCTTCTTCATCATATTTTTCCTCTTCTTCTTTGTATTGTGTTTGTGCCGAGTTGGTGTAACGACGTGATCGGGTCACTCGTCTTCGTGTAACTAACTAGAGGCGCTAGCTCACGGAGAGGAGGCTGAAATTCAAGAATTACCAGGCACGATTAGATCGTCGATTGAATATGCAGGCCCGTTGGGAATCAATAGGAAGCCACCCGCGCTCGTGGAAGCAGTGAAGGGAGTGCGTCGATTGGAGCATCGGTAGGTAAGCGTGCCGCGTGCCTGATTTGGTGATACTGCCTCGCACGTCCAGAAATTTCGAGAGGTGGCGGCCGACCGAGCAACCGCGCAGGGTGAATTTCGAGAGCAAATCGAGACCTGGATACAATTCATCTGCCGCCCCACCATCGGTTTTTTTCCTCCTTAAGAACCCCCGACATCAAGGTTTCCTTTTGGTATTTTCCACCGACACTTTTAGGTGCACCCCCAACAACACCACTACCAATCACAACACACAACAACGACATCAAGAAACAATGGCATCCATGGAAGGCCTTCGCATCGATCGCTCTCTGATCCCCACCCAACCTCGAGATGTTGAGCGCTTCCTCAAGGTATGTTTGACCCCATTGACCTTTGTTTGGGATGTGGCGACTCAAAGAACGTGATGCAGAGCGACTCCTGTCCCGTCGACACCAGCTTGCCCCCGGGCTTCCCAAAGGTCGTAGACTCGAAGACTGCCTGGTCCGGTGAGAACGCCAAATTCGATCCTTCGACCGAGCAGCACACCCTGATCCTGAGCGAGGCTGAGATTGGCGAATTAGAGGAGGGCTGCCGCATGTTTAAGGGTGAGTAGTATCCCAGCACGCCCCCGACCTTTCGAAGTCCCTCTCTGTCGCGCCTGAAGTTTGCTTCCTTTCCGGCTGTGTTGGGATAATGACTATACTAACTCTGTTTTTCCTTCCCCAGAGCTCAACCTGCCCTTCGATGCTGTCTCGGAGAAGACCTTGCCCCTTCCCACCTTGTCTGCCAAGCTCAAAGCATGGGCTTCGGAGCTCACCCAGGGCGTTGGTTTTTTCCGCATCCGTGGTCTGAACCCCCAACAATACTCGAGCGAGAAAAACATCCTCATGTATCTTGGTATCTGCGCCTATGTTGCCGAGAAGCGCGGTATGCAAGATGAGCGCGGCAATATGCTTCGTAAGTTGAACGAAACCATGCCGAGTGGGTGGGGGATTCGTCTGCTAGTGCGGTGCTCGCTAACACGGACGGCATGCAGTTCACTTGACCGACGTTGGTCCACAGAATGCCGGCATCAATGAGCGTCAAGCTCCCTACTCCAACATCAGCCAGGTAAATTAGAAGCCAGAATACCGTGGAGTTTTAAAGGAGGGGGAAGTATGGGATATGCTGACCCGACTCGAATCCGTAGCCATACCACACGGATGCCGGTGGCCTCATTGCGCTCTACTCGCTGGGCCAGGCCGAGACGGGCGGTAACTCTCAGTTGGTTCCCATGGCCACCGTCTACAACGAGATCGCCGCCACCCGCCCGGATATCATCCGCCTCCTGGCTTCCCACACTTGGGTCTTTGACAGGTAAGAATCCGTCGTCCTTGGAAGTTCTGGGGAGGATCGCGTGTGTATATCCTAACGTTGAACAGCTTCGGCCTCACTCCGGCTTACAACGTCCGCCCTCTCCTCTACCCTCTGAAGGATGGCAAGGTCATGTTCGCCTTCGCCCGCCGTCCTCTGCTGGGTAGCTCGCAGTCTCCCCGTTCCGAAGGTGTCCCTGAACTGAGGTAGGTGTGCCCGTGCCCGTGCCCGTGCCCATGCCCCAGCTGGCATAGCGATGCTGATTCGATTTGATCTTGAAGTGATGCCCACGTCGAGGCTCTCAATGCCGTCCAGTTTGTTGCTGCGAAGCATGCGCTGTCGACCTCGTTGCCGGTTGGGGAGATGCTGTTCTGGAACAACTTGTCGATGTTGCATTCTCGGCAAGGTTTCACCGATGGTGGAGCGTAAGTTGCACTCCCTCCCTCGATCGAGCCAATCATGGTGAGGTACTGGATACGTGGGTCCAATGCTGATGGGTGTGTTGTACGTACGGATGTAGTGGCAAGAGGCGCCATCTGATCCGACTCTGGCTCTGCAACGAGGCTACCTTGAGCGGCTGGTCGATCCCCGAGGAGATCAAGGCTGGGTGGGATGATGCCTTTGAGCTCGATGGGCGGGAGCAAAAGTGGCCCCTGGATCCCATCACGGATCGCGAGGTAAGTGCAGGAGCAGCAGCCAATCTTTCTTTCGTTCTTGGGGGTGGTGATGGTGATGGTGGTGGTGGTGGTGGTGGTGGTGGTGGTGGTGGTGGTGGTGGTGGTGATTGTTTGCTGGATGGCTGGCTGACTTGTTGACCTGCTTTGGTCATTCTCCAGTTCATCACCTATCAAGCCCGCGCATCGGGTCACGACTAGCTCTGGGGTGGGTGGTATCGCGGGGAGAGAGGAGAGGGAGAGGGAGAGGAGAATAGCATTCACGTGCTTTTGTCTCTTTGGTCGCTGACTGCAGGTGATTATCTGATTTGGCGGCTTTGGGATGAAATAAATATTATGGGCTGGATTGGTTTTGATTAGGAGTTTCGGGGAAATCATTATTATTATTATTATTACCGGTATGATTATTGTGATTATTATTATTATCATCATCATCATTATTTTGGTGGGGGGAGTCAAGTGGGGAGGGAAAGGGAAGGAAGGGCCAAGGGAAGGAAGGGCCAAGGGCAAGGGCCATGGGAAAGGGCAAAAGGTGATGATGAAGTGAATTGGGGATGCGCGGTGAGGAAGTCGCCGACAAGGCCAGATTCAAGCGAACCTCGACTACCTAGTACCTGCCACGTCCGACTGTACTGTACTGTACTGTACTGTAGGTACTGTGCGTATCAAAAAGTCCGAATCAAGTCCGCGTCAAAATCCCGGGTATTGGGGATTTGCTTGGCTTTGGCTGCGGGGTCCCTTCGCTGCGATTGGCTGGATCCTTGCTAGCGTCGGCCGCCGACATGGATTCGCGCCATCTGACTGGCTCCAGGGGGCTCATGGACATTTCACGTCTCCCCGTTATTCCCCATCTTCTCCCCCGTTGATACAGTTGATGCAGTCAATACGGACTGTACAGCACTTACAGCCTCTTTTCCGACGATCGAGGGGACACCACTCCACCACTCCACCCCGATCGCCATGACCCCTGCTGGCAGGTGGTACCGTGACCGGACATCGAGAGCCATGATCGCAAGACATCGTAACAAGCGCCCCGGATCGTGGGGACGACGGGACGAACGACGGGCAACGGCTGGCAACGGCAGGCAAGATGGATCTCACAGTACAGTAGCTACTACTGTACAGTAGTAAGTACAACTACATATCGTGCGATACTACGCCATCTCATGCCCATGCCCACGCCCATGCCCATGCCCATGCCCATGCCCATGCCCATGCCCCATCTCATCCTGATCTCCAGCCCGCGATTCTTCCCCACGATATGATTGATGTACCACCTATGAAACCGCCATGCCCAGATCCCATACTACTTACTTAGGACTACATCTAGAGAAGGTTCGTCGCTTCGTCCCGTGCCGTCTTTAGTTAAGTACCCAGCTCTCCTCGCTAGTCGAACTCTAAAATCTTGGTCCATCTCATTCCATCCTCCTCGTCTTCTTCCTCTTCTTCCTCTTCTTCCTCTTCTTCCCCTTCTTCCTCTTCCTCCTCTTCCTCCTCCTCTTCCTCCTCTTCCTTTGGAACATCCATACAAACACACACCCACACAACTCTCTCCAACGCCGCTCTCCACCCCCATCATGGCCGACTTCGACCAGGACGACTGGGCCCTCCAGCAATGGTTTGACAATACCACCCACATCAGCTGGGCCCACTTCGCGCCCGGCTCTTTCGAACAAGCAATCTTCTTTAACCCGACCCCGGTCTCGGCCGCTCCCCCACCCCCAGCCCCACCCGCACCCGCACCCCAGATCTACTACAGCAGCCCGGACTCTTTCTACTCGTGCCCCGACCACGCTTCGGAAGATCCACGGCCACTGCCACAGCCCGAGCCCGAGCCCGAGCCCGACCCGGAATCGGAGTGTGGACTACCACTGCCACTGCCACTGCCACTGCCGAAGCGACTACGCCACCAGTCTTCAGAGGAGACGATTCTGGTGCGCGCCCGCAAGACCAGAAAGCTGAGGGCGCCGCATGAAACGGCAAAGGTGCGAGAGAAGGGTGCCTGTTTTCTGTGTCAGAAGAAGAGGAAAATCGTAAGTCTTCCATGCTGTCGGTGTGTCTTCCTCGACTTGCGAGCCCAATCTGACCCGAGCTCAGTGCCAAGATGGAGAGGACCCCGAAGGTTCGTGCAAGAGATGCGTCAATCACCCTGATAGCATAGCGGTGACTCCCGGCATGCTTCGTCCGCTCTGTTGGCGCCCGAATATTGGTTCGACGGAAGTCTTTCGTCGAGGTATGCTTAATTTCAACTTCCATTGCCACTCGGCTAGCTAGCTACGACGCTAGGCACGCACGCGACTACTAGTGGTAGACATTATCGCTTACAGATTCAGGCCCATCCCTCGATTTCGCCGCATCGCTGCGAGGCAACAGCGAAGATGCTGGGCCGGGAAAGCAAGCCTTGTGGAAACACTTTGCAACTCGTCGAAGCGGGAGCGACTCGGCGCGCATCGTCGAGTTGTCACAGTACTGGACGGGGAACAAGTTGAGCATCCGACTCGACAGGTACCAGCCCATGGAGACGGACAAGCAGTTCTACACCTGGTACGAAGACGGCAAGGAGAGACAGTTTCGAACTCCGGCATTTGGCATTGCAAACTTGGGGTTGGCGACTTCGGCCATCGAGAAGTTCCAGGCACAGAATGCCGAGGCATATATCGAGGCCCATCTGCGCACGGCGACCGAGCTCACGCGCAAGACTTTCCGCACCGCTCAAGCACATGGGGTAAGCGCGATCCGCCATCATCTGAATTTCTGACCGTCCGCCTGACACCAGATCCTAGTCTCTCCCCCTCGTCGAGCGTGCCCTCAAGCTCTGGGTCGCCTGCCGCTTCATTGAAGAACCATGGTCCATCGTCGGCCGCGAGAAGCTTGATATGGTGACCGACCCCAACCCAGCCTGTCCGTACCACGACCGCGTCCCGGTACCTCCCATCGTCGACCTGCAAATCGATCTCATCGTCGTCAACGAGATTCTGCAGCCGGAACTCAAGAAGATCTTGAAGATGCTGAAGGAGAAACTGGAGTCGAGCGAGCCATGGAGCGATTGGTTCGAGATATATCTCGCTTATTTCATCTTGCTGCATAATGTGGAGTTGACCATGGCGCACGACGCGTGGTTCGTCAAGAGAAATAATTTGAAGGTGCGTGCGTTCCATTCTCGCCTGCCTCAGCTCCCCGTACACACTCCCCACCGTCCCGAACCGTGCCCTACTAACACAGCGGTCGTACAGAGGAAGTACTCGAACAAATCCCTCATCGACACCATCACTCAAGGTGCCACCACACTCCTCACCTGCTTCCACTACGCCCACCAAGGCTACGCCCCGTTCTCCGAACCACAGCTGGAATGCACTCAGCGCTTCCCGGAGGATCAACGGGAGTACCTCCGCGGTACCCGCCCGCTTCTGAAGATGATCAGAGGAGATCATGTGAGTGACCCGGCGAAGGAGCTTTTCTGGACGAGCCAGTTGCACCGCCCGGACTGGCGACCGGTTGTCTTGATGTGTTGAGAAGGGAGGGCGAGGAGAAGGATGTGGGCTAGGTCAGAGGGAGCAGGGTTTCACTAGAGCTCAGGTCGGTGCACTGTGTTGGCTTTGAATACGCATCACCGTTCAGGGTCCTGATTATTAGATCACGCGTGTTCAGATATGGCCCGGCGACGGAGTGCCTCTATCTATACTGGGAGCTGGGCAAGGAGCGGTGTCTGTCGAATTTACCACTAACGGATGCATTACGACTTATGTACTAGCGAATATTATTATTATTTTTTTAAAAAAAAACCCCCTAGCATCAAACCCTCTCATCCTCCTCCCTCCACCCCTTTCCACCCCTTCCCCGGCCCTTCCTTCCGTCTTACCCCCCCTCCCACCAGTCCCTCAAGCCGCAAAGCCAGTCCACCCACCATGGACTCCTCCCCCCTCCCCCCTCCCCCCTTCTCATAATAATGCATCCATCCCCG